ATGGACGTGATACTGCACCTTACTTTCTGCCTTTCAGAAAAAACCTATTGACTCGCAGTGTTGGAAGCCACAAGAACAGCCAACAACACATCAATCTGGACGCAAGATTGGCCCGGGCCACACATCGTCCTGTGCAAACTAAACTGAACTGAACTGAACATAACCTATTTTTTGCAATATGGAACGCATTCGCATTAAAAGTCTCTCGCCGGCACGGCGAGAAATGTGGTTTCTCTTTCTCTCTGTTTGCAGATAAGCGAAGAAACCGATCGTGAGTACACCACTGAAGGAATTCTGGACCCTTGTTTGGCCTGTGGCCACTACCAGTCCTGTGCATACTGACCTTACGTGACCTGGATTGGATCTGTCCTATGTATCGCAGCACCCAGGGAAGCCCCGCCTTATTTGAACCATTGCAAGAAACAGCATATTTATTTTGTTATTGATAATCGCATTGCTTGATAAAATGCATATAAGAGGGACAAACAAATAAATCAAATTTAAAAATAAAACATAATAATAAAACCATATATGGTTTGGATGGTTTGGAAAGGTACACATGGTAAAAAGGCTTTGGGTAACACTATCATTCCACGACTTATGAACGGTAAGTTCATTGAGTTTTTTTACACATAAAATAGATGCCATACTGAAACGAGGTCTTAATATCACGAAACTCAATAACATCTGCAGACATATCTGCAGATGACCATATATCTGCATATATATGGTCACCTACGATGGTAGGTGACCATGGTCACCTAAATAATAAGGTATGCATTCCTTATTTTAGATCTATAGAACGTATCAGCCAAATGGATCCAGTTAGCACAGTGGTAAACTCGAAAGTCATCGGACACCTGGCACTTACTTGGCTGGGTTATTAGCGTACCAACACAATAATGCATTTTTTGCCATGGCGAAAAATGTATTATTTTTCCCTCCAACTAGCGTTTTTATTAACCATAACCCAAGTAGACACTTAGAGGACGCTCATGGATATCGTTTTTATACACTCCATGAGATACTTCTGCTACCTGTGTCTCTAAGGTGTAGACTTCTACGGCACGGCTACGTTGAGCTTGAGAAAGCATTCGGAAGACGGATTTGGCAGTAAAGAGATCTAGGAGAAATTTTGATATCTATTGAATTATTTACTCTCGTTCTTCCTCTCTAGTACTTTATCCACTCCTTCACTGTCACCCCTTACATTGGTTCATAAATGTAACTTACGTGGGTGTAAACTGAACCGATTCCAAACTAGGCCGATTTCCAAATTATATGTGAACACTTCTAATTTTCAGCATCAAATGCTAGCGAACAAAAAGAACCGCATCCGCTTCCATTTACTGTAGATAAGCGGGGTCACAGGAACGTTTGGCAGTCGAAGCAAGATTAGAACACGGAGTTCGGAATGCATGAACCTGGACACACATTGGCTCGAACTACTAGTCCTCTGACTTGACCTGACCTGACCTGGTCTGAATTAACATGTTATAAGCAGTAGATATTTATATACAGGTATATTTGTTATAACAAATGTAAAAAATATACATATTCTATGAGGTAAACCATTCCCGAGATCAATTTCTGAAGAACAAACCATATTGCACGATTCATGTCCAGGACTATTCTGCTGCATTTCCATATGGTCCGTAGTGCAGATAGTATTGGCCTGAGTGGAATTTCGGCAAACCAGTTGGGAAATCAGCTTTTATCTCATAGTCAGACCCCAGAAGATGTTCTCGCCAATTAAATGCCCCCCATCAGAAACCGAAGTTCAGATTCAATTTTCCGTTCTAGCTCTTTGTGTTCATCACGCCTTTTCTCGCAGAAACATTGAGCACACATGTATATGGAGTACTTAATCTTTTCTTGGTATCCAAAACGGTCATCATTATCTTCATTGTGCAGCAAAATACAATGGAGCAAACTTCACTGATCGCTGCCAAACTTGTTTAGCACCGGAAGTAGGTCTGAAGCTATGACGCGCCTACGTATTCAGTCGTTCGGGCTTATGATGAGGTTTTCTCAGGCAAGCACGAAGTGAGGAGGAAGTCGAGTACGAGCGTATGAAGTGTATGTGACCTGCAGCAGAAATTGTACAGAGAGCAAGCGCACGATACAACTCACCGGAAAATGTGTCAGGGTCGAGGTCATAAGAGTTCTCGAAAAGGAGGACAATAAAACAAAATAGGGTCTTTACAGTGATCACGGGAATGGCAATAAAAAATGAAAAGAATGTTACTACACTTGCAATGCATACAAGGATAGTGGCCAAATTTAAGGTGGACAGGGATTGGACCTATTTTTAGGAAGGGTAACATGCAGAGTGCACAGTCAAACTCTGCATATAAACCATTAGAAGGATCACTACGATCCCAGGACTAATAATGTCTACGAACAATGAACGAAAAACCGAATCAAAAAGAGAACGGCTGATATCACAAAATCTCAACGACGGTTGTATTCATATGAGAGCAGAGAGCAGAAGAGAGAGAAGCACACAAATGAGTAAGCGTGAAGAAGGTGAAAATCAACCAACTATGTGGTCTGCGTCTGGTGCAAAAACAATATCCGAATAAGGAAAATTTACATGTGCGGATAGGTTTGATGCCATTGCTTCACCGTTTTGATACAGTACAAAACATGCATAACGGCTAGGACACGTAATCAGTAATAAAAGAAAGGAATAATAATAGATTCCAAGTGGATATTAACAGTCATTTCGGAGTATTCTTGGGAAAACGCTCAAAGGCCTATTACAAACCAGCGTTATTTGTGCGAGATTTTTCCCAAGAAGTACGGGTTGCACAACGCGCTACTTATCGCGTTATTTTCGCTTTGATGCTGGCAGGGCCCATTCATTACAGGGGTACACTCAAGAATAATCAGTTCGTCACAGACAGGCAAGCCAACTGCGTCTCCAGATTCTTGCTTCAGCCAGAGCAAAGGGTCTTCCGTAGCTTCGACCTTTTGTGGAATGTTTGACTACAGCTGATGTCTGCCTCCAGAATCACCTCTTTTTTTCAGTCCATAACAGAAAATGGAAAACATGGAATTTATTCTGCTGCAGTAGGCTTACTAGAAGATTTCTGGATACAGTCTGGTCCAGACCCCATCTAGTTATTTCCTAAACTCGTCTAATGTCCTACAGTCAAGCACTAGAGATGGTAGTTGATTTTACTCATCTATCACTATGCTCGTGAAGTTGGACCTGAGGTTGAGTCGGCTCCTTCGGTTCTATTAGCTTCAGATGATGTCTCCTTGCTGACTTATTTGGTGCTGGGGTGAACAGTCTCTCTGTCTACAGCTCTGTCAGACCCTTTATTATTTTGAAGGTTTTGATAAGCTGACCTATTTGGCGTTTTTTCCACGGGGAAAAGTCTTGGGATTTCCAATCTATCTTTAGATGGTTTACTCCTCATTTCACCTAATCATCCCAGTGGCTAATTTTTGCACCTTCTCGATACAATATATATATCTCTCCTTAACTCAGACGTGTTTATTTTGTACGTGTTGGTACCTTGATGCACAAATTCTCCCAAATTTGCTAATTAACTTTGATTTGTTAATCAGGTGACATATATGTATATATCTTGTTTATCTCATTGTATTCCCGCTTTGTAATGGGCTATTTAGTGAATTGTTTAATTATATAACATGTATTATCATATATTTGTTTGTCTGTGTGTGCGCCATTTCATTTAAAAACTAATTATTCTGAGACAAATTCAAAGGTAAAGTTTTAAATAAAAAAATCACCACATTGTGACAACTATATTTAGTTTCAATTTTGGTTTCCATAGTCTTACGCTTTATCAATAAAAATTTCATCTCCTGGCCACTACGGTACACACAAAAGTAACTCCTACAAAGATTTTGATATTTGTTTTGCTCAAGTCCCAATTCCTTGGCACTTGTTAATTGAATTTTTAGGAATCAGATTAAAACGATAAAACGCCAATAAACGAACTGCTAATTTTTATGACTTCAATCTTTGGAATTTTAGGCTCAAAATAATTGAAATTTTCTGTTCCTTGTCATGCAAACAAAAGACGAACAGAATGAGAAATTGCTCACAGAAGCTGCAAAACACCTAGTGCAAAACGTGCTACGCAGTGTGGAAGAATCTGACGAAGATAAAGAAACACCACATCTGAGAAGACCTTCAAACTCTGATAAATCTTCTGATACACACGACCATAACATTAAAGATCACTCGAGTAACGAAAAAATCGATACAGAAGAAAACGAAAGTGTTGTTGAGGCTCAACCAGTTGAAAAAAACCGGGATTCAATCACAGTTAAATTTGCCGAAGGTCTATCCGTCACGAACGCGAATGCGGTAAAGATTGTTTCCAGTTCGACATCAACAACAACAACAACAACAAGCACAAGTGAGGAGATCTCATCAGTTGAGGAAGTTCCTCGTCTGTGTGAGACCAGGATTGGGTTTATACACCCCCTGGGACCAATTCCGATTTCCCCTGTCGTTCAGTTTCCGACTGAAATGACCAAAGTACGTTTTCCAGTGGAATTAGAGCACGGATGTGTTCACGAGGATAGATTTTATGCTCCAATCCGAAGTAGCGGAGTTGGTGCTAATTCACCAGGGAGCCCACATGCCTGTCTCACTCTGATCGAACCGATCGATCTATCTGGTGACACAATGTGGCAATCCACGACGACTGATCTGGCCATGGCTTCCTCTCAACCGGAAACAAAAACAGCCGCAACAATCATTGAATCTTCTGGTCCAGTGACCGCTACTTCGTGGTACAGTTCCGAGAGAAATGGTCATGTACCGATATCTGATTCGCCCAATCCCACCGGTTTGATCCCATCGAATTCCGGTGAGAATGTGATTGAGACGGAAAATTCAAAAGCACCGAAACCCGTAAAATTGACAAAAGACACAGTCACAAATAACCTGATAGATGAAAAACTTGGTCCATTTACTCAGGCTTTACCAACTTACACGCCATCGAGAGTCTATTTGCGCACAATTAATCAAAATCTTACTCTCAACTCGGCGGGATTCAGCAACACGGGTTCTCCTTATAGTCAGCGATATGTGCCCAATTTTTACACGTCAGAAACCGAGAAACCTGGCATTAGAGACGATGTGCCCAGATTGGTTTTGTCCGACAGCCCACCAGAAACGCACAGACGAGTTAGATCTATTGAAGAAGTATTAAGTCCCTGTCCCCTTTGTCCCAGATTTGTACGTAGATCAGTGAAAAATTTGACACCAGTGCGGAACTCCTCCCCACTTCGAAAACGTCTTTCACTATCCTGGTGGCAACCATTAAACAGTACAGACCCGCCACGATTCACTTTACCGGAACCGAGTGTAAAGGTGGTACGGCGTCTGGTTCAAGAACAAACCGCTCGTGAGCTGCGAATGGCCAATGCAATTGCACAGGCTCATAGAGAAGCCGAACTGCAAAAGGCGGCCAAATATGAACGAATCCGTAATCGTGCACGTCGACATTCAAGTCGACAATCAAGAACACAGTTGACCACCCACACGAAGGAGTTTACAAGACCGCGAATAAAAGTGAATCCCGATTCTATGCATACACACTCTATCAGAGTCTCTGGTGTGCAAAAACTGGCACCACGAAATGAATTTGAACAAATCACTCAAACCGATTCCGCTCAAACACGGCGCAAATATTCGAATCACGTAAGTCACACTCAGTTTTGCAATACACTTTCTTGACAAACCCATACAACGATTGTTGTGTGGTAGTTTGATTGCGTAATCGAGTGATTTGTCTATCAACATTTAATCAAACCGCTCTCTCAGGCACAAAATTGAGTCATCGTGCATAGAATTTCTCGTGGATAGTCTCATCCATTCAACGGAAGTGAATAACACATGAATAACTTCATAGGACATCGTTTGTCATCGGAAACAAACTTATGCAAGATTAAAATCAAATCAAGTCAGTAGTGGCTTTATAAACCCGGATGGGCGAGTTTTCAGCATGTTTACACGCACCATATTTGTGGATTCAACTTTTAAAAAATCATTACATAATGAAACTGAACGCAGTAAATATTGTGTTTGTCGCTGAAGCAAACAACTGCACAATTCCGTGGAAATTTTCTCCTTGTCAATCAGTAGACGTGCTAGATATGGCAAACCAGAATCACCATAAGAAGAGGCATGTTAAAATAAAATTTTAAAACTTGACTGTGTGGATGATGTAGATACAGCTTTTGAAAATTCGTTGTGTGAGTATCTGAGAGTATTTGGGCAGAGAAATGTTTACATGCTTGTAGGTGTCTGTCTATGATAGAATCCACGAGTTTATCCCTGACAATGCCACTACATTTAGAGATGTGTTTCAGAGATCTTGCCAGTAAATAAAAGTCTTTATTCAACATACCGGGAAAGATCACTGGGGAGCAATAAAATCAGTGGTGTAGCACGCATGCATTCGCATACCTAACAATCAGCTTATGGGGCACAAAAAGCAATCTCAATCGGAGTGAGAAATATGAAAGCTTTCTAAATTTAATGAATTTGTTTTGATAAATTATATGATAATGTAACTCACAGGTACTTTACTATCGTTGATTTTGGTAGGGGTTGTTGATTTGCAGAGAGGATGGGGAACCTATCTGTGAGGGCTGAATATGGTACATAGACCAAGAGGGAAAACACAACATCCTGACATTTAGAGGCATTCAATGAGAGGGAACGGGACAAGGACCAAGTGACAACGTCGTTTAGCTTGCTTTTAATTTCTGAGGCCTCTTCGGGGGTGGATGCTCTGCAACCTAAAAGAACACCATCTGCGTATTTACAGCCAATGAATACAGGAGAAATGGGAAATCGTTTGACATACATAGAAAAGAAAAATGGGGAAAATATTGCACCTTGCAGGACACCAGAAGAAACCGGGCGAGTGGAGGACTTTTTGCCGTTGAGGCACGTAAACTGTCTTCCATTTGCGAAATAATCTCAGATCAGTCTGTCAACGTTTGGATTTACACCGCTATCGGTAATCAGGTTGAACAATACCGATCGATCAAGACTGCTGAAAGCAATTTTGTAGTCAAAGAACACCACTCTTACGGTCTTAATTTTCTTATCTAGTGCTGAACTTATTGAATGAACAAGGTATGTAACGGCATCAAGTGTTGAACCAAAATAACGATATGCAAACTCAGTGACAACCCACGGTAACAAGCATCTTTCAAATAATTTGAGCAAGACTGACGTGTAGGCGATGGGACGATACTTCCCAGGTTCATTTTGTGGAACGGGGGTTATCTTGGCCAGTCTCCAAATATCAGGATATTTTCCGCCTATCAGACAGTCATTTAATATTTTAGACAATGGGGCTGAAAGAGTGTCCGCACATACCTTAAGTACCACGGATGATAGTTCCTCCGACCCAGACGCTTCATTCATCTGTGTTTTCAGTAGCTGTTTCAGAACTGTGGCGGGTTCGATAGTTGGTGTTGGCATAAAGCTGTCGAAGTCTGGCGGGGCAGTGTACTGTGCAACTGGACTAAACTCGGAAATTAGTCTTTCAAAGTCGACAGTTTACTTTTTGTGTTTATTGCTACTGCCACACAATCGGTTGATAGCCCTCCACATGCCACGACAACTAGAGTTTCCCAGGGTAGTGTCGATGTACAATTTGTTCAACCGATTTATTTCACCTTTGATCGAGGTGGTAAGCCGCTTGACGTAGGTTCTTTGTCTATGTTTATAGGCTTGTTCTTTCCGCCTGCGTAGCTGTTTTTGTAGCGGTGATGAATATCTGTCTTTATGGAAGTTTCAAGTTGACAACACTGGTTAAAATAGAAATTAAGGTAGTCCGTTTACAAATTCAAACTGAATTTATGGCTGCGTTCCGTGACGAATCACTTCGAGGATACAGGGAGTCACGTTTCATCGAATCTTATGTGAATGGGTACAATTAATCACTCAGGCGAAGCGCGATAACTCATAGAAAAAAGTGTTTGATAATTGAACTACTAAAATGGCATATCAGTAGTTACAAGTGAAGTTTTACAATTGTGCTAGTTTTATCGTGTCCGCATCGGTATCCTCGGGTTCCGCTGCTCGTTCGTGCTACATCACATTTGGGCTTTCATCTGNTTTTGGGACTTGATTGGATAATTTTTAGCGACTGACGTAGCCTGTTATCCCTCGACCTGACAAATGACTGTTTGCTCACCGGTTTGTACTTTTTGTGATACTCTGATTGTTGTTAGTTGTTTTCCAACCGTGCTGAACGAAACATCAGTACACTAGACACATTAGAGATTCAAGGATGTCAGTAAGGTTTTGCTCCTCGCTTATATCGTCCTTTGTTGCGGCTAGCTCATCCGATCGATCAATGAAAGAACCTAATCGATCGTAGGCGCTTGTCAAACGCGTATAGGAAAATTAGTTATGAACCCTAAGTTGTTCATTTGTGATTGTTGATGGTAATATTGTTGTGGCGTTAGCACCATGTCTGTCCTCAAACCAGTGTTAAATATAGAAATATATATTATTTCTCTATAGAAAATTCTTTGTGCATATTCTTATTTTTTGATGAACTGAGATTATGACAATCACTTACCAATAATCATGTTCAAACAGAGTAAGAATATATTTCCTTTTCCAGACATTATATTAATAAAAATGTATTTAATTTTCACAAATTTAAACATTACCACCATTCTGATTTCGAAAAAAATAGTCTGGTATTCTCACGAAAAAGATGCGGAGAAACGAAGAATTAATTAGTTATACCCTTTGGTAGTATGCTGATGAAATAACTATCCATCAAATCGATTGTCCGTCATCTGTAACCGCGAGACGGCATACATAACCGGATACCGTTCATTCAGATTTAAACAAAATGTTTACGCATTCGAATATGGAGCACAGATTATCTGCATGATTCGTAATTCGAAATCCATGCAAAGGTTTGGATCAAGTCTCCAAATCTGAAAAACAGAGAGTTCTTATTCCACCACTTGGGTTCGGGTTTTTTTATCTGACTTGAGGGAACACATGACATGTCGCAGAACCAGAAGAATAGGCCATCCATCACTTCATTTGGTCACTGAATTGAGACAGACTCCATGTATCAAGGCGATTTCTGGAAGATGAGGGTCCCATTTGCTATCCGGTCATCTGACAACGAGCTTTAAAACACGGTTACTGATTACGGGGAAATGAAAAGTTTCAATATAATGTTACAAATATGGACCCCCAGTCCTCGGCAAATCACGATCCAGAGGGGAGCAGAAATGGTTTAATCTGTTTGTAATCTGCTAATGAAAGGTACAGTTTTATTTTTTGTTGGTTCATTGAGAATTTTTGAAATTCACGGAGAGAACTCTCATAGACCCTGACCACCCATTGCACGCAGAACTGATACCATGTCATTTCCATCATTCAACACGATCCCAATTCTGCCAAATCTTGTCTCGAATTAACGCTTACAGCAATTCACCTATACCGTATCTTGCTCGTTGACTCACAAACAAAGAGCGGATGAAAAGTTAAGTTTGTTTTAACCTTGGTTTATGAAATGTCCCCATGTCTGTGAACATTTTCTCTTAGTTTATCATGTACATTGTTACAGTTGGCGTGCATGCTTTTTTAACTGAAATGTAAGCTCCAGTGCTCGCAAAGGTATACACAATACCATACAACACAATACAGTACAATATAATACAATAATATCTGTGAGGACGCGATTTTCTTTGTGAATACTGTAAAAGTTCTTTATGAGACTTGGGTTCAGTATTTGTAACCACATCTAACCACTGACAAGGTTGATCCCGAGGTCCTAACAGGACAGCCTAACACGACTCACCTGAACAGGTCTAAGGACTGCTTGGTCATCGTCACCTTCTTTCTCACTCCAAACTGCTTTGAGAAACATCGGCCACCAAGATCGATGAGATCGGAACAGGTACTTTAAGACTGAATGGCCTTTCGTCTGACACGACCATTTCACTGCACTGTTTGGAATGGTTTGGACACGTCCTACGATTATCTGGACAATATCTTCCCTATGGTGCCCTAGTTGTAGACATTGGACTAGATTGGAAGATAAAGCGAATGAGGCAAGTTCTAACGTGATGTAGATGATTGTTGAATAAACTGTGTTGGAAACTGGCCTCCATCGAGGCATCCCGAATTCCACACTGGTATCTCAACGATTCAGCTTGAAGTGGGTTCACACCGGGGTTTGACTGAGCGAAAACTGATGAGTCTATACGAACTCGAATTCCGAAAGTTATACACTGTTACCCTTGGATAAGGCTGTTTTGTGTATGAAGCATTTGCATAAACATTTCCATTTTGTCTGACATGATTTTATTTTGACTTGAACACGTGGGTTTGTTCCCGTCAACAATTGTTACGTTCCCGGATCGCCCAGAACGAGAGGAAGAACAAAGACTGTCTGACCGTCAGAGATCCGCGTGTATGTTCAAATGCATGCGTCAAGCACTAAACCACATGACAAGAGCGACAATCATAACATCATAAGAGGTCAAGGTCAATGACACTGTTTGTTCACCTGCTGGACAATGGCACACCTGACATACAGGGCAATAGCACCCCACCTCCACACTACTACAGTCACAAATAAAACAGAGTTGAATGTAGTGTGGGTTTAATTGTGGCAAAATTGCCTTAATCTGCGTGAAAAACTTAATTGTATGGGAGTCTACCGAATGGAGTTAACAGATAGTCAACTGGGCTTCCATTCATCTTTTTCGGGCTCACATACTCATATATTATATTTCACACACGTCTGAACCCAGATTGTGTCAAACAAATCATGGTACAATATTCTTTATAAAAAAGCGTTCCATGATTTGTATCTGGGCAGAAAACTGTCAGGTACCAAGGTCAAGGCAGGTGCATTTCTTGAGGAATTCACAACCAGGGCGTTCGGCTAGTCGAAGCCTGACCCGCAAGGCGGCGGGGTGCGGTATGTGAAAATTGCAAATCCATTGGGAGCCGGTGTCCATTTCATCGGATCATGCACCCTTTGTTGGACGGGGTTAAAGGTGCAAGGTGCCCAATACACCTCGATGCCGAATTTAGCCGGCGATAACTGCTATAACCAGGAAGTTGTGTGTGTGTATGTGTGTGTGCGTGTGTGGTTCGTACGCCTCCTCAGGGTGTTTGGTCAACTCCCCAGTGGTCCACCAACCCGGTTATAGCCCCGTATGTCGGCTTTTCGTCTTATCTCTTTGGCGGGAAAACATCTCCGCCACGAGAAGGCAATGAGTAGGGCTTCTTCCGTAGAGGCTATTTGAGAAGCTTGGTAGTATGGGACCGTTTCACGGGGTGCAAGGGAAGGGTGACTAACCAAAAACCTTGACACCTAATCCCGACCATACTGAGGCTTTCGGAGGTGTTTTCGGGTTCAACGAATGGGTTGACTACCATTGAAGAAGACAGAAAAAACACAAAAGAATCTCGAATTAGTCATTGCGATCTGCCACGATGTGAGATGGCAGCTGTCACAGTAAAAACACTCACACATACATTCCATGCAATGGTTGAAAGTGAGGGTAGCCCGGTACCACCAGTGGTTAAATTTCGTTTTTCGCTTCCTCTCCCTATTTATTCGGTTCTGCCCGCCCCTCGCCCCGCCTGAACTGAGAACAATCTGACACTAAACACCTGGATCGGTAA